TGCTTTGTAATATCTGCTGCCCATTGCTAAACACCCTCTGGTGGCATGGAGTTTCTCATTCAGTGTGTTGTAACCTTTACCCTGCTGCAGTAGCCTTTCTTTGCTTCCTTTTTTGGGCTAAACAGATAAGAATCTCCAATCCAGGCTCTTCATTTCCCTCTGGTGAAGTGTAGAGTTCAGACATCTCGCTAGCCTTCACCCTCCTAGCGCTGGTAGTACAGTGTGATTGGGGGAATCCTAAGTATTGGGTGGAATTGGATATGACTAAATTGGGTAGAAAATTGGGGGGGGAAATCCAAAAAAAGAGGATAAATTAACATATCAACAATTCTAATGTACTTTTAATTTTTTTAAACTTTATTGACTATTCATATATTTGAATAATCTGATCCCTAATTATTTATGTGCATTAATTCCTTCATAAGTTACTGTTTTTTTGTCCACAGTATGCTGAGAAGTATATTTGTGTCTTTCTGGTGAGAGCAGGGTTATCAGTGGTGTCATTCGAAGGCATGGTTGGCTAGCATAATGGATAACATTAGTGGTGGGCATTATAACAATTATTTTGTTTTTCTGATAAATTGTCACAATGTTTTTCTGAGCTCATCATGGATATCTACAGTAACTTAAATAACACTGACCAAGCGCATGTTTACTAAGACAACAAAATTAGACCTATTGGATTGGATTTAGTGGAGCATGGTATGTGAAATTTTGAATTAAATAGTTTTTTTTTGCTTTTCTTTGTCTTATTTGTTTCAATAAAAAGAGTGGGATCAACAATATTTAAGAGTTTAGAGGCATTCGCAGTAAAAAGTATATCACAATACTTAGCAAATCTCTGAAGTTCACACTAGAATCATATCAAGACTCAAATATCATGATAATATTGTATCGTGCTGCCTCTAGTGATTCCCATCCTTAGTATTGTGTTTACATGTCTAAATGGAGTTTTCCTTCTGGATCCATCTTTTATACCGGGTTTGGAAAGATGGCAGAATTGCAAATGTAAAATAATAAAATGCTGAGAAAAAAGTGTTTAGCCTGCAGCTGTTTTACTGAGTCTGATAAAAAACAGACCTGCAGCGTAATTATGGTTTGAGTAAAGCCTCCATGCCTATTGGTTGTTTTCTAGATAGCCTTATCTTTAGTTCAACTACATTACAAAGGCAAAGGTCCAGTCTCTCTCTTCTTCTCTCTTTCTTTCTCTCTCTACCAAAACCACCTGGGATGTGGGACATTATCTCACCATTACGTTTGAGATTGTAGAAATGACCCTGCAAACCAATAAAATGCCCTCTACTGTGATAAACATTGCTACATCACTCTATCTAGGAATGCGGTTTAGGGAGCTTCATTAACTTTTTGCCTCATAAAGTCTTAAAATATTGTTTGTGTCATGTCGGGAAACGTGGCCCTATCAGTAATCACCTATCTGGACGAGACCCTTCTGTAGCCCTGTAGGAAGTTCTTTTATTGGAAGCTTCTAAAGAGTGGCCTGACGCTCACTTATATCTGTATGGCGATTAGATCTAACCTCAGTTTGGCCCCTTCACACTTCTCCTTGTTTTGTATTCCTCTGAGATAATCTGTGTTCATATCACAAAGCTCCCCTTCATCTCCATGCTCTCCTGTGCAAGGGTGGATGACTGGCAGAGCTACATTTCCTCTGTTTACTACAAGCCTGAGAAAATATTTATGGCATTCAGCTGGGGCTCGGAATGTCTTGTTTTTGAAAGGCTCTGAGGTGGATGAGTGTGGGTGAGTAGACAGAGTGTAACCTCAATTTTCAGGCATCTCTTGCCTGGAGAAACATGACTACAGCTATGGAATTAGAGCATTAGTTCCACTTGGGTATGCTACATATAGAAACCAATGATAGCTATGTGTTACTATAAATGTGTTTTTTTCTATATATCGTATATTTTTGTGCATCAAAAACCACAGAGTTTTGAGAAGCTGGGCTGCCTTCTGTCTTTGTGCACAGTGTTCCAAATGTCTTGTACCAAATAAAGATGCCGTTGCGGAACTGATAATGGCTGGAATTCTTCGAGTGGGTGACCAAGAAGCCACACTATAGTGACCATCCTATCCCAGGCTGAAGAGGGCTGCATTCGGCCTCAGATTGCGAGAGACTAGAGGGGGAGGGTACAGGAAGTGGTTCACGGGTGACCACTGGGAGCAGCGTATTTCAAGCCCATCTTCCTGTGTGATAAATCTGAGAGTTCCTTGGCCCTGGGGCCAGAGGAGCCATCCACGTAGGCGGCTTATTCATGGGTGAGGAGTCGTTGATTTAAGCTGTGGTTGCTCAGTGGCTGGGAGGCGAAGAGCAGCTGCTGGGCCTCACCACTAATCTGCTTACTCTGCGGAATCGCACTGCAGTCCAAATTGTTGCTACCGACATGCGTGCTCTGCCTAATTCCTATCAGACGAGTGTTTGCAGCCTTTCCCCTCTGCCTTGGCTCGTTCGAGAACTATGAGAGAAGTTGCGTCAGCCATCATTAGATATGGCGCTCATCTTTTGCTGTCTGCTGTCCTTTAGCAGATGGGGAATTCCCCCTTTGCTGAAGACCAACAAAGACTCTTTGATGCACGATGTCACAGTGTCTGGTGGGGCCTTTTACAGTTCCAACGAAATGAAAAGATGTAGTTGTTAGCATTATAGTGGAGTTTTTCAAAAACAACAGTCTGAAAGTCAATTCGAAGGATGCCATTTAAAACAAGCGGTGAAGGCTTGTTTTGCTGAGGGTTCTCAGGAACACTAGGAGCTCCACTTGTGGTGAGATGAGGGTTTTGGTGGTTTTTGGAGCTATTTTTGGGCACGTGCCATGACTCGGGGAGAGATTGGAAGCCCCTTAGCTGACCTCTTCACTGTGATAAAACAGCCTTCTCCTTCTCCCTCTCCCTCTCTCTCTCTCTCTCTCTCTCTCTCTCTTTTTTTGACCAGAGAGTCAGTGGAGGCAGCCCATGAGGAGAGGGGACGTGCCTTTTCCCAGATAGCACCTCAGGGCTCTCAGGGCTGACCAAATAAAGCCAGAGAGAGACTTTGAGAATGTTTCCTGAAGGAAGAAGCTGTAACTTGGTTGACAGTACCGTGTCTAAGCTTATCATTAAGAGTATTTAAAAGCGTCAGCAGTCAGGCTTTAGGCATGAACAACTGTTTACTTTAGTGGTAAACTGCTGAGTGACCAAGACACTGGGGGGCTTGGAAAGACATCCAGACTGACGGGCCCTGCACCACATTCATTTCCTGTAGCTGTCTCCTGGTTTATGTGTTTTACAGTGTGTCCGCCTCATGTTATTAGACAGATCCCTCACACATGTGGATGGAATAAAAGGCTTTGTAGACATCATGCCCTGCCCCACTAACCCACGATGACTCCAGTGTGGCACAGGACAAGTCCTGCCAAATTTGCTGAAGCAGATCCCTCTTTTAACCCTTATAACTTCTTACTGTTGTTTTGCAAAAGAAGTCTGTATTTAATGCATAATTCTATAGTAATAAATTATATTTACAATTGATTTTCATTCTGTGAAGACTGGTATGAGTCTGCATGTCCAACTTTTTTCTGTTTGTTTTGACATCAAAAAATGACAAGCATGGCAAAAAATGTAAAGGCTCTTTTTTACATTTTAAAATGTATCCTCTTTTAACTACAAACACTAATGTGAAATCATTTGAAAGCTCAGAATCTACACTTTTGACAGAATTGAAGACGTCCTTTTGTTATCACTGGCCATAACTGCAGCTTCTTAAAAGCACTTCTCCTTTTCTCAGACACAAGCTGACATAGTGTTTTAAGCTCTAATTACCATCATGACTATCTGAGAAAAGCTGCTCAAAAAATGTAACCAAATAAAAGAAAGGAATAAGAAAGAAATCAAGTCTTCCTTGTGGGACTTTTAATCCCAGGATGTTATTCTACTTCAGCGCATAAGAGAGAGTCAGTTTTGCTGTAAGGAAGAATTCGCCTTTGTGGATGGTGCTGCAATTCTAATTAAGAACAGTTGATGGCCTAATGTTACATTTTGAGGAGGTCTCCTGATGTTTCTGGGGTTCCAGACTCCAACCCACTGTTTTTCAAAGGAGGACCTCTTTAGGGCAGCTTGTGCTCCGTGTTGTGTTTGGAAGGGATTGAGGGAGCTAATCTATGACTTTTTAGCTTTGGTGAATTCACTTTCCTCCAGGGAGTTCTCTGGAGGCTCTTCTTTTTGGCTCTGTACAAGCTTTTTTTATCTTCTTTTTACTGTACAGGCAGGATGACCTGGTGATATATGAGTTGTGACTGAGCTACAGTTATTGACCTTGTACAGATACATTTTTTAAATAATGAATGGTTGAAACTTTGCTTCGCAGTGTCTGCTTTTTGGCCATGATATTAGAAATACTGTTTTGTTCTTGTTTTGTTTGTTTGTTTATGTTTTGTAGTTATTTGTTTGATTTTGGGCTCCAGCTAATGATTATTTGTATAGTCGATTAACCTATTGACTGTTATTAGATTTATTAGCTAATCGAACTAAATCTAAGTGCTTTATTCTTCTGTGGTGTAACAAAACAATAGAAACCATATTTTCTTGTAATGTATTGTAGTGTATTGTAATGACCACATATACAAACATTATAGTGCGCTTTTTAAACATGTCATCAACAGTGATGCACCAACACTTTATCCATAATCAAGATCACTGACTAATTGTTTTAGGCTTAAATTGATGGATTAAGATTTTTTGTTCTGGATCGAAGGTTTCAGATTTTTAAGGGATTGGCTCTGGTTCCCGCTCCAGAAGTAGTGACATCACATAAGTTTCTGGAAATGAACCCTGCGCTCCAAAGTTCATTCACATTCACTCAGCCTGAGGAAAAAGGCTAATTACAGTTTTTAGAGCAAAGGCCAAGACTGCTGTGTAAAAGGTGCGTCTGGGGGCAAGCAGACATGACTAATCTATGACTAATGCATTTAGTACTCTCCCTAGCTCACGTCCTTCTCTGTCTCTTTCAGGGCATGCGGGTGTTGGTGGACGCCCGGGACAAGCTGGGTGTCCCATGGCAGAACTCAGAGAACGAGAAGCATGGCATGTTTGTGATGTCGTTCGAGAACAAGGCGGGCTTGCCAGTAGAGCCCTGCACCTTCCAGCTGTATGTGCCCGCCCTGCAGGCACTGTGGGGTGACTCGGGCATCCAGCAAGCGTACGGGCGCAGGAGCGAGTTCCAGCTGGTGAGTGGACTTTATCTATTGGCCCAGAACACAACAAAGAGGATGATAGAAAATCAAATCACGATATTTCCCACAACGCAGACAATAAAGATGTAACAACATAACATGTTGAGCAAGCAAACAAATGGATAAAAAAATATGATTGTGTCAAATAGTGTATAGTATAATAGTGTCAAATAGAAGGATTCTTCTTCTTAGGTATCTACTGCGGCCTTAATATAAATAGCTGTAAATGTTTAATATGCAAGATAAAGTTCTTGTTGAGTGTATAAGAATTAGTTAAGCTGTTCGAGTTCATATTTGTATTGGGTGTAGGACTATTTGTGGTTCATCATTTTTGGCCTCATCACGGCATCCGATGTGTGGTAAAATCCATATAGTGGAACAACATCACACCAGTATTCTCTTTACCTTTGTATGCCTCCCACCACTACCAGGATGCCACATGCGCTGGGTTTGACTGGGCCTGCCCTGACTATTACACACAAGAGTCTCTTACACTTTCATTTTTAGTCTGATCATGACTGAAGGAGAATCTTTTGTAAAAGTTGGCTTATAAATCATGAATACATGCCTGAAGGTGTTTCAGTAAGTGTCTGCACAGATAGCCTATTCAGTGAATAGAAAAATAAAGCATTTAAAGCTGCTCTCTGATTTAAGGACAGCGTGTTGACACATGGCAGGCACTTGATTCATTGCGAAGCTAAAAGAAGGGGTTAGAGATATGTGACCACTCCAGATTCAAAAAAAGAGCTTCCTATGCAGCTCAGCAGAAACATGATGAAATATGCTTAGAAGCTATAATTTGTTTCATTCTTTAAATACACATCATCAACAGTGCAGTGCATTAGTTCAAAAAGAGAAAATTTTTTCTTGATCTCAGGGCATCTATGAGGAATTCTTTTCGATGGTATATGTTGATGTTCTTTAAAGCTAGAGGCAATGATAGAGGCAAGTGTTAACTAACAAATGCTGCAAAGAAACTGCAGCATGTCGATTTTTGCACAAATGAGAGCGTTTTAGCAGTGGAGCCTTATAGACCCTCAAGGAAGGCTTAATGATTTTTTGGGAACTAAAAATAGACATTAGTTCTTTTTTTTGAGTAGAATCATCATGCTTGTGTTATTTAGATTCTGTAAGTATTGTAGTAATACTCTTATTTCATTATTAAGTTTTGGTTGGAAATAAAAGGGTTAAAACTGGAAACGTCTAATGGAAAATTGTCTAATCAGTTTTTTCCCTATGGTGTCTAAGTAGATTGTGCCTTCAACTGAACAGACATGTTAGAATAACCTCCAGAATAATTGTGACATACCAGTGGAATAAACCAATGACGTTTTGATGTGCATTAGTTAGGACTCATTTTAGGAGAAAAAATGCCTCTCAAAGATACATCGATCCTGAATATCAGCAGTAGCCTAACCAAATTTCAGTCAGTTGTTAGAAATGAAAAAAGTGGTGGCAGCTCTATGCTCTTGAGTTCTTTACTGAAAGAGTCACTGTAAAACTGTTATATACAAGGTAAAATATAAGCAGGCTTCAAGTAAAACATATACAATGTCTTTTACAATGTCCCTGCTTGATTTAGAACTACCAAAAAATGTTCATGTGCATAAGCATTAGCTTTATGTGAACATACCAGTAGAAATCCTACAGGGGTGCTAACAGAAATTAACGTTATCAGTTTTTTTGTCCTCGTTCTGACATTTATGGGCCAAACTGAAGGCCTGGATCTAATAGTCATGGTTTGACTTTTAATAGAAGTAATAAAGCTGGGCGATATGGTGAAAATGATATATTACGTTGCAATCAAATATGCAGTATGTAAGTAGGTGTTTTTAAGTGTGGAGTGATTCATCACAAAAATGATACATATTATCATATTGCCCAGCCCTAAGAAGCAGTTTGATGCTAAAAAGGGCAGTGAAAGGTAAGAAAGCAATAAATACACAATGATTGAAGGAAAGTTAGATGAACTGTTAAAACCATGCAGATGCACATCAAGTCCGTAATTAAATCTGCAGAGTGCAAAAAGCAGTAAGAAGCCTGATTTATTTATGTGATCCATAACTCACAGTGCACACAGCGATCTGACTTTGATGAGTTCAGGGCCTTCTCAATCTTTAATTTGCTCAGTCTGGGCACTGGAGAGGAGGAAGTGGCACACACGTATCTGCCACAATACTTCTAGATCATTCTGAATTATTCACCATTGCAAAACTAGGTCAGTGGAGCAGAACAGAGGGCAATGAGGATAAACCACAGATATGCTAGGACCACTTTCCCTGAGCCTGTGGGCTAACTTTAAGCATTGTGCCTGTTTAATGCAGTTTAACTGTAACTGGTTCTACTGTGTTGTCTTAGTTAAAGATATAATAAAATGACTATATCAGTCATGGGGATGCAGGGCGTGTCATGGCAGCACATGGATGACCAGAGGATGACCTCATCTTTGGTCATATGCATATCAAAGCCTTCCAGTGGTGAGAAAGAATCAGCAGATACAGATACAAACTACTGGAAGTGTTTGTTTGTGTAGGGAGTTCTATAGGGCTCCTCTACTCATTTCATGTGTTCATTCTCAATATGTTCCTCATCATCATCGTCATCATCATCATCACCACATTTGCTCATTCAGACCTACTAAACACAAATTAAATATGACAGCCTTTGCTGCTCGAGAACATTTTCATCAGATAAGACAATTTGTGTTTAATCTGCCTTGGACAGAATTGAATTAGGGACTGGTGTTAGCTGATGAGCCTCTCGCTTCAGACGCTTCGACAGAGTCTTCTCAGAGTGACATGCGGAACTGCTGTATCATTTAATTTGCAGGCAGTATAGGAGAGTATGAAAATTTGATTTACTAGCCCATTAAGGCCACATTAGCTTTTTGTCAAACTTTAAATCAAGCTTGAAAAGAGAAGGGTGTAGGACTTCATAAACTATCATTCTTCAACTAATAAAACTGCCAGGAGATTTATTGGTAGTAAGGTTTGTGTTCAATTCATATTACACCCCCCCACCCCCACCCCCACCCCCAGGGAACAAAGCATGCTTTTACCTTACGGCTCTTTGTGTTTGTATACAGTGGTCAACGCCTTGCATTAAGAGTTATTACGAACATAATGTGAATTAGTAATAAACCTATGACATCTTTGGCATTGAGATCAGCTCTGCATCTTGCATTAATGCGCAAAGCCCTTAAAAGACTTGCTGTGCAGCTGGGAGGGGGTGGGTCAGAGGCTGCCTGCTCTGGCTCTTTTGTCCCCTCTGCTGTGTGAGGGAGTTCTTGTTATTGGAGCAGTCCGGGGCACAGTGAGTGGGAGGATGTTACAGCGGTCAGTCAGCCTGTCGAACTGCAGAGCTCACATCCCTTTCATCGGATAGAGCCAAGGCCTTCAGTTTTGTTCTTCTTGTTTCCTGCTCCGCTCTTTCTGAACAAGGCTGTGCTTGTGTGGACACCATGGTCGGACAGATTTATCTGTCGGGCGATAATATCATCTGATATTAAATGGGTTCATGGATTTATCCACAGATATTCTGCCAATTATAATTGACTATTGGCAGGTGAAACCTACCAACCGTATCAGTCAGTAAAGTACCGTTTAAATAGTTCATTGACTATGTTGTGCTGTGAATGTTTTTTTGAGATCAATATATAAGTGTGTTTTCATTGCGTATAGAAAAATGAGGTGCAAATATTGACTTAGATGCTGCTCCTAACCCTAACCCACATGCTGAGGGAGCATCTTAATCAATTTTCAGGGCACCTTACTCCAATAACATGTTTCAGCAGGGCAGGTAATGTGGTAATGCCACTAAGAGGCCTGTTTACACTGAAGAAAACAAACATGCTCACATTGTTGCTCAAAATCTTACAAGCTCACGTTGTTCTTTATATGGTTTTGTAGTTTTTGCTGTAATTTTAAAACATCATTCTATAAACTGCTTTTTGTTAAGAGTATACATTTATTCTTGCCAAAATAACAGTATGGTTAAAACTTTTCTTATAGGCTATTGTTTTTATTAGGCTAGGCTATATTAAATTGTCTGTTTGTGTTTAACAGTGTTGGTGAACTAAGGCTTCACAATCATTTAACCCTCTGTTCATATTTTGTGTGGAAAGGCGTCTGTTTAGCAACTGGCGTTGCTGAAGATTCCACTTGTTTGAATGAATTGTTGGAAGTTGTTGTCAGTTCAACTCTGAATTAGACAAAAGTATTGTTTTTAATCGATTGTTATGAAAATGAGTTAATGAGTTTGATGCATTGATAAAATAATCTATGGCTTAATTGATTACTGAAAAACTGAGTCCTGTTTTTGAATTGAAGTTATACTGGCTAATATTAATGACTATTGGAATTTTTTAACTCTTTAAAATTCTGCTAGTCTCAAATTTTACACGTTGTCCAGGTCCTAGTGGACATTTTTTTTTGACATGTGTCTCTCTGCCGTGCCATTACTAAATACCTCAGATTCCATCTTCCTGTCAGGCATACCTCTGCTTTATCCTGTTGTTACAGAAAGCTGGACACTTGCTCAGTGGTTGGAAGCTTTTAAAATTTTCTGGCAGTGAAAAACTAACAGTGTCTCAAAAGTCGCAGGTACCACAGGCTGTGGCTGGGAGTCCAATAGAGCATAATTTGCTATGCTGTTGACGTTGGGTGGGTAAGATGGATTAGTCTTTCTCTGTAAATTCCGAGCAAAATTGACAAATTGTTGGGGAGCATTGTGCGATGGGACAGACCTAGTTAGTGGGTGGGAATTGGCTGGCTTATTTTGGGATAAAAACTGGGTAAACATTTGGAAAAAAATCAAAATTGCAAATCCAAAAAAACTGTTGCTACAACGTTATTCTCCAGCAGTGCTCAAAACAGGCCTGCCAGCTGGGGGAAGCTGTAGATGTTCTGAATGAGGGAAAACAGCTCCTCTCTTGCTCTTCATGAGGGACTTGGCCTTGCCTCCAGTGTCTCCTTTGCTTCAGGGTCCGGCGAGGA